TTCTGGTCAATTGGGCTGGTGCCAGCAGATTGAGATTTTGTTTTTTGACTAAAAGGAATGGACTTGAGCAGTCACTTAGCATTCACCGGGCACCTGTTCTGTGCCAGCACCTATTTTAGCGGTGCTGAGGGACACGGAGGGAGGTGGCAGTCAAAACACGTGAACAGCAGGTGGCTGAGGGGCGTAGAGTGTGTTGGGAAGGACAGATGTGGTTTGAAACTAGAGCCTGGGACATTCCCTCATTTCCCATGCTCACTTACTGTGTTGTGGTGAGTCTTTGCTGTGCACTGTGCTAGGAACTGATGACAAGACAGTTAAAGGACTTCCCAAAGACACAGAGTAAGTAAACAGCAGCTCACTGGCTCAGGATCCTCATTCACGAATGCTCCTAACTCACACAGCACAGGTCTGAGCAACACAGGGTGATGTCTGTCTTCAGCCTGACCAGCGAGATGGGCCAGGGGCCGATTGCGTTAGGTGCGATAAGCCACAGATATCACATCACCCCAGAAAACAAAGTCCCACTGCCGGCTTTCCAGTTCAGAGTCGCCACCTCCAGGAAGCCTTCCCAACCCCTCTGCCCATTCTGAGGCAAAACTCTACTCCTTTGATGCTCCCTACACAATCCCTTGTGTGTGTTCCCCGTAGTATCATAGTATTCATGATAACCTGCAATCATTTTGACTCTGTTCACCTTCTGCATGTGTCCCTGTCCCCCACATCCCAGTAGGCTACTGTTTACCTATTCTGTGTCCTTGGGGAACTCCCCTCCATCTCTGAAACTCCAGAGGAGGGCAACAAGGATAGTAATAATAACTGACACTGACATCACTGACTGTGCTGGCATGGTCCTGAGAAACTTACATGTTATTGATTCATTTGCTCTTTACAGCAGCCCTATAGATCCATACTGTCCTGCTTTCTCACATATGAGGAAACTGAGGCATAGAGAGGGCGTTTTAGTGGGTTTTGCATTGCTATAAAGGAATACTTGAGGCTAGGTAATTTACAAAGAAAAGAGGTTTAATTGGCTCATGGTTCTGCAGGCTGTATCAGCAAGGCACTCGCATCTGCTCAGCTTTTGGTGAAGCCTCAGGAAGCTTTTGCTCTTGGCAGAAGGCGAAGTGGGAGCAGGTGTGTCACATGATAAGAGAAAGAACGAGGTAGGGGTAAGAGGTGCCAGTCTCTTTCAACAATTAGCTCTTGTGTGAATTAATAGAGCGAAAACTCACTAATTACCACAGGGAGGGTTCCAAACCACTCCTGAAGGATCGGCCCCATGACACAAATACTTTTGGCTCAGCCTCACCTCCAACACTAGGATCACTTTCAACATGAGATTTGGAGGGGACAAATATCCAAACTGTATCAGAGGGTAAGTAATGTACCCAGAGTCACACACAGGTAGTAAGTGGCAGAGCCAGGATGCAAACCCAAGCTGCCTGGCTCTTAACCATTGCACTGCACTGCCTCCTGCATGATAGGGACGGTAGTTCCCACCTCCAGGGCAGTCCTGAAGGTTGAGTGAGATGCATTTTTACAGCATCCGCCCCAGGACCTAGCTGTCCATTCAACTCTTTTTTCAGATGAGGTCTCACTCTGTCAACCAGGCTGGAGTGCAGTGGCACAATCACAGCTCACTTCAGCCTTGACTTCCTGGGCTCAGATATCCTCCCATCTCAGCCCCCTAAGTAACTGGGACTATACACGCATAGCACCACACCCAGCAAATTTTTTTTTTTTTAATTTTTTATTGGATTTTAGGTTTTGGGGTACATGAGCAGAGCATGCAAGACAGTTGCGTAGGAACACACATGGCAGTGTGCTTTTCTTCCTTCTCCCCTTCACCCACATTTGGCATTTCTCCCCAGGCTATCCCTCCCCACCTCCCCCTCCCACTGGCCCTCCCCTTTTCCCCCCAATAGACCCCAGTGTTTATTTTATTTTTTTGTAGAGACAGGGTTTCACCATGTTGCCCAGACTGGTCTTGAACTCCTGGGCTCAAGCGATCTTCCTGTCTCGGCCTCCCAAAGTGCTGGGATTACAGGCCAACTCATCGTTTCTGAGCTCTTAGTTTGTACCCAACTCTGTGCCAGGTTCTGACTGAGGCATTGGGGATATAGGGAGCAAAATGCACATTAAACATCAAATAAATAACCACACAAGAAGTCAGTTGGCTACTTATACGACGAGTGCCTCCACAGCAAAATTCTGGGCAATCTTGGGGCATGTGATGGCGTTTGACTTACCCTGGAGTATCAGGGAAGACATTTAAACAAAACCTATTGTGGAGGGATGAGTAGGAACGAGCCACGTGAGGGACCACATGTGGCGGGCGGAGCAGTCCAGCAGAGGGAACCACACAGGGGAGAGTGCAGAGGCAGGAGAGGTCCCTGTGACTAGAGGGGTGGTGGGGCCAGGTCACGCAAGGACTTCTAGGGCTGGATTTGGGACTGTGGACTTCATTCTGAAGGCAGTGGGGAGCTCATCATTTGACGTGGGATTGACATTGTGTGATGATCATCTTGATAGAGACCACTCTGACTATAGAAAGAAAATAGAGCAGCCCAGAGTGGCCAATACAAAGGGCTGGTAAGAGGTGGCAGTGGCCTGGACTAGTGGCAATGGGGATGGAGAGAAACAGATTGTAAAGATATTTTGGAGGTGTTTCATTGGATTTGACAGGTGCCAGAGGGTGAGTCCCAGATTCGTGGTTCTATGAACTGGATGGAAAAATTCCCCAAGCAGGTATCACTTGCTGAGATGGGAAGGCCACAGGGGCATGGCAGGGGAAGGGGCATTATGACCAACAAATGAGAACATTGACTGGGCCTGGAGGGGCTCAGCCCTTGAGCTCAGATGCATGACCAAGCCTGCAGGCCTAAATGTGGCATCTAGACGAGAATCTAGAAAACCTAGACTGGTTGAAGTCCACTTGGGCAGGCAATGGAAGGCAGGAAGAGAGGGGCAATCAGGACTGAGCCTGAGGAACCCCAGCATGAGAACAGAGAAGGAGAGGGTGAAGCAGGAAGGTGGGCACAGCCGTGGCTGTTCCCAGATGACTGCCCATCTGTGAGATCATCCCACCACAGGCCTGCAGAGGGGGCCACTGAGCCAGAGACCATGTGGGCTCTGGGTCCCAGTGATGGATCTCAGGGTGGCAAAGCCCTTACCTCTCAGTCTGTTCTATGGCTGTAAAGGATAGTCTAGGGCTCTCCCCCATGGCATTTAGGGATCTTGTGTTTTCTGTCATTGACACGGGCTGTACGCATGCACACCCAGCTATCTCCACTGCTCAGTGACTTCACCCAGCAGACATTCAGGGGACTGGCCCATCACTGACCAGGTCCTGTGCCAGGCTCAGTGACCTTTGCTATTTTAACATGCACAAACAATACTTAACAAAAAATACAACGATGCTAGAAGATGTTATTTGATAAATGTTCAAGATACTGGATATGCCGGTTACCCTGATAGGATCATTATGCGTTATTTGTATTAAAACATCACTGTGTACACCACAAGTATGTACCATTATTTTATGTCTGTTTAAAGAAAATGAAAGAAAAAGTGTGGAAAACATTTACCTTTATGTTTACCAATGCCTTTGATATCCTTCCTTTGTGCTAGAACATTCTCAGCTATTATCTCCTCAGTTCTCCCCTGACGTATTCTCTCAGTCTTCTCCCTCCAGAATGCTGATTGAACAGGTATCCACTAGACACTCTTACTGTGTTGCTGCGCACATGAACTCTTTCGTATTTCCTTTTTGACTGTCTATGCTGAATGCTGGATAATTTCTTCAGAGTCATCTTCCAGTTGACACATCTCTCTTCTGCTAGGTCTAATCTCTTCCAGAGTGTAGAAATGGAAGAGTAACTCCTCAAGCTAATGTAACCTTGGTACTAAAACCCAAAAAGGACAGTATGAGACAGAAAAATTATAGGCCAGTCACACTTGTGAACCTGATACAAAAGTCCTAAACAAAACATCAGCCAACACAACCCAACAATCTTATAAAAAGAATAATATGTCATGGCCAAATAGGGTTTATTCCAGGAATGCCAGATTGATCTACCATTAGAAAACCAAATTACGTATTGACTATATTAACTGCATTAAAGGAGAAAGGTCATTTAAGCCTGTCAGTAGATGCAGGGGAAAGAATCTGATAAAAATCAAAAAGCCGTGCACAATTTTAATAAACCCACACACTCTGACCTGCCGGAACACCCCTCAACTTACTAAAGAAGACCTCAAAGAACTCGGGGCAAACGTCATCCTTTATGGTGAAATATGGAGCTCTTTAAGATAAGGAAAAAGGCCAAGATGTCTGCTCTCACTACTTCTATTCAGCATCCTGGAGGTTCCAGGACAGTTTGGCAAGGTGGGAAAAAGTAAACAAGGAAGGCCTGGAAAGGAGGGTGTCCAGGTGACTCCTGGTTTCTAGCTTGTGCTCCTGCTTGGATGTTTGTGCTGTTTGCCAAGACGAGAAAGGCTGAGAAGCCCTGGTCGGGCTGAGAGTTGGGAGCACAAGAGAAAATGGTCTGGCTTCCCTGGAGAAATCACCAAGCATGGGATGAGGACACCTCGGCTCCATTCCCAGCTCTTCCCCCAACCTTGGACGGCCGGCTTTCCTCCTTGGACCTGAGTCCCATCCGTGACATGGGTGGGCGGGAAAGATGGACCGAAGGTGTTCTTTGAGGGCCAGATCTGGTGGGAAACCAGAGAGGAGAAGGGGGAGCCGGCCCCCATTTTCCAGGAGGGCAGACTTTTGTGTGCAGAGCCTCTGGTGGGACGTAACATCTGTTTGGGGATAGGGCAGGAATCTGATCGAGTCAAGGCACCATCTTGACCCTCTGCCTTGCAGAGGCATCATCCCTTCTCTCCTTTGCCGAGGGGTTGCTATTGTTATCGTTGGGGCCATTGTTGGCACTGTTGGGTATGTTCTACAGTTGTAAGGCACTGACCCCCGACGACATGTCTTTTTGATGTTTTAGACCTACAACGGCCAGAGTGAGAACAACGAAGACTATGAGATCCCCCCGATAACACCTCCCAACCTCCCTGAGCCATCCCTCCTGCACCTGGGGGACCACGAAGCCAGCTACCACTCGCTGTGCCACGGCCTCGCCCCCAACGGTCTGCTCCCTGCCTACTCCTACCAGGCCATGGACCTCCCAGCCATCATGGTGTCCAACATGCTAGCACAGGACAGCCACCTGCTGTCGGGCCAGCTGCCCACGGTGAGTCCCTGTCACTTGTCACGGTCCTGCTGGTGACAGCAGGGGGTGGGGGGCGGGTTGAGAGGGAAGCAGAATGTTGGTGCTTTGGTAAGAACACTCTGCTCATGGGCAGGGTCTGGGTTCAGGGGGTTGCTTGTGTGGGAGTCTGTGGAACACAGTGGATGGGCACGAGAGAAATCTAATGTCAGCACGCTGCTCCTTTCTGGAGCTCTGTGTACGATATCTTGTTATTGGTTTGCATTATTTGTTAATAGTATAATCTCTTTTTGACTTTTTTATTGAGGTATAATTTATATTCCATACAGTTCACCCATTTAAAGTATGCTATTTAATGACTTTTGGTATATTCAGAGTTGTGTGACCATGAGCACAGTCGATGTTAGAACATTTTATCACATAATGACACACTAGCCGGGCGCAGTGGTGTTTACCTATAATCTCAGCTACTTGGGAGGCTGGGGTGGGAGGATGGCTTGAGCCCAGGAGTTCTGGGCTGTAGTGCACTACGCAAATCAGTTGGCTACACTAGCTTTGGCATCGATATGGTGACCTTCCAGGAGTGGGGGACAACCAGGTTGCCTAAGGAGGGGTAAACTGGCCAAGGTCGGAAACAGAGCAGGTCAAAACTCCCGTGCTAACCAGTAGTGGCATGATGCCTGTGAAAAGCCACTGCACTCCGGGCAACGTGCAAGACCCTATTACTAAAAAAAGAAAAGAAATGCTGTATTCCAGGCATGGTGGCTCACATCTGTAATCCCAGCACTTTGGAGACTGAGTCAGGAAAATTGCTTGAGTACAGGAGTTGAAGACCAGACTTGGCAACATAGCAAGATCCTGTCTCTACAAAACAAAAAATTAGCCAGGGGTGGTGGCGTGCACCTGTAGTCCTAGCTATTTGGGAGGCTGAGGTGGGAGGATCACTCGTAATTTAAATTTAAATGTATTTTAAAAAATTGTATCTTGCTTATGCTGCCAGAGAAGAGGGTAATTACTGAGTTCAAGTTCATGGGATAGGTAAAAATGTAGCAGGCAGACAAAGGCAAGAAGAACCTTTCCCAGGTTGGGGGAATAGCAGGTACAAAAGGGGGCGGCAAGGGTGCTCATGCCGTGCTTGGGAACAGCATGTGGTACATTCTTTTTATTGGGCTGGAGAGGAAGGACCTGGAGCCAGAGGGATAGAGGAGATGAAAGAGCTCAGCAGAGCCTGTATCATAAGAGTCCTGAATACCGTTCTAAGGAGGGCTGTGTGTGTGTGTGTGTGTGTGTGTGTGTGTGTGTGTGTCCATCTGTATCTATATATCTATATTAGATTTATCTGTTAGTATGACTTATTTGAGGCCAGGTGTGGTGGCTCATGCCTCAAAAAAAAAAAAAAGAAAATGCTGTATTGCCAGGTATGGTGGCTCAAGCCTGTAATCCCAGCACTTTGGGAGGCCGAGGCGGGCGGATCAATTGAGGCTGGGAGTTCAAAACCAGCCTGGTCAACATGGCAAAATTCCATCTCTACTAAAAATACAAAAATTAGCCAGGCATGGTGGCACATGCCTGTAATACCAGCTACTCAAAGGCTGAGGCACGAGAATCGTTTGAACCTGGGAGATAGAGTTTGCCATGAGCGAAGATGGTGCCACTGCACTTCAGCCTGGGCAACACAGCAAGACCCTGTCTCAAAAAATTAATGGCTTATTTGAACCATCAAAATCTATAGAAAAAAAGAACAGAGGAGCATTTTTTTTTAATACACCATAGAAAAATCTCCTTAAGGGAATTCTAGTGCTTCTTCTGAACAACTGTGATTTGTATTTATTTCTGCTTCTTCCCTTCACAATTAATACTACATACTAGTCATGACTCTTACATTCATTTTTTTTTTTTTTTTTTGAGATGGAGTTTCCCCTTGTGACCCAGGCTGGAGTGCAATGGCGCAATCTCGGCTCACTGCAACCTCCACCTCCTGGGTTCAGGCAATTCTCTTGCCTCAGCCTCCTGAATAGCTGGGATTACTGGCATGCACCACCATGCCCAGCTAATTTTTTGTATTTTTAGTAGAGATGGGGTTTCACCATGTTGACCAGGATGGTCTCAATCTCTTGACCTCGTGATCCACCCGCCTCGGCCTCCCAAAGTGCTGGGATTACAGGTGTGAGCCGTTGTGCCCGGCCCCTTACATTCATTTTTAAGTGACAGGAACCAATCTCAAACTTATGCAAAAGAGTCTGAAATATCCAGGAGGTGGTCTCAGGGTTTCAGGCATGGTTTGATCCAGGAACCCCACCAGTGTCAAGCCGCACTTCCACACCACAGGCCTGATGGCTGCTGGCAGCAAGGATCATGACAGCATTGCTGGATGGACCACTGTGTCTACGAGGAAGCAGTTCACTGTTTTATCAGCTTGAGTCATGCACACACACCTGTGGCACAGGAGGAGGGCTGCTTAGTTGATTTTTCATAGCAGAATCTCATGGTTTGGGGTGGCTTGTGTCTCCCTCTGCCAGGACTTCTCAGAAGCCACAGTCAAATTTGTGGCCCAATTCTAGCAGACCCCGGGGCCTTAGGGCATGGCTTTAGAGTCAGACAAGCTCGACTGTATTTTATTTGTTTACTCTCCTTTTATTACCAGCAAACTTCCTTGTTTAAAAAACCTGGTGTCTTCTGTGTATTTTTTTTAAGGCACATCACATTTTTTGTTTATTTTTGGAATTAGGTGAGAAATAAAAGGAGACAAGGAAGGGAGGGAGGGTGGGAGGAAAACAACTTGAGGTCGGTCCACATTTTATAGTGTTTGGTTCTCATGAAAGAGTTCGATGAAAATGGACGCTTCATTTCTACAGAAATGTTTTCTCTGTGGGTCCATCAATGATGCAAGTCCTCAGCTCCCCTTCTGTATCTGAAACCTAGCGATTCAGACACCCACCGCCATGTCTGGAATGGCTTTAACCCATTTGTGCCTGAGGTTGCAATGTTTTGAATTCTTGCAATCAGACCTTGCTGGTGAGCTTGAGCAGTAGGATGTAAATAACTCCCACATGCTTAATGTTCCAATAATGGAACACTAGGCATAAAGGGGTTTCCACTGAGCTAGAATGCTTGTACCTTACTTGCTTACCAGGCTCATTTTCTAGCAGAAACCTCACTGCTCTGGACCATCCCTGTTTGGGATTTATGGTAATACAAGCAAGAGCAGGGTCAGGTGGCACCTTGCCATCTGCTATGAGGGCCGTGGTACAGAGGTGAGCATGGCTAGAGTTTGGGGCCACTGTGTCACCGCCTTTGGTACTGGGGTGAATGGAGACAGTGTCGGGTGATGGTTGGTCCCAGAGACCCGAGTTAGGTCCTGGCTTCACCTTTGAAGCTTCGGTTTGCTTGTCTTGGAATAATAATTGTACTCACTGAAGACTGTGGAGAAGTGTATGGAGATAATATATGTAAAGTCTTAGCAAATGTCTGCAGAGAGTAAACACTCAATGAGCATTTGCTATTGTTTTTAGCAATAAAAATGAATTCCCGCTGTAAGCAAATGGCAGTGTTTTCCCTTAAGTCTCATTTCCTAAAGGAGCAGCCTGCAGACACCCTCAGGTACATTTGTAGGGCCACCTGGTTTAATAGCTTTGACAATGACAAAGCATGTTATCTTTTTATCAGAGATGACCTCCTAATCGCCCCTCCTCAGAAATGCTTTTGTTGGGCTCTGTCCAAATAGGCGCTTGCAGTCATTATCCAGATTTTCTTTAACTCATGTTTAAGAGGCTTCACAAATTCAGATAGCCTTAATTCTTCCATTAGTCAGACTTTGCAAGGGTTCACTGAATTTTATATTCCCTCTTTATGTAATGGAAGATAAGCCAAACTCTATTATCCAGGGGAGGGCACCCGGACCAACTGGAAAAACCAGATAAGAACATGTACATGCAGAGCCAGGCGCGGTGGCTCACGCCTGTAATCCCAGCACTTTGGGAAGCCAAGGCGGGTGGATCACGAGGTCAAGAGATCGAGACCATCCTGGTCAACATGGTGAAACCCCATCTCTACTAAAAATACAAAACATTAGGTGGGCACGGTGGCGCGTGCCCGTAATCCCAGCTACTCGGGAGGCTGAGGCAAGAGAATTGCCTGAACCCAGGAGGTGGAGGTTGCAATGAGCCGAGATCGCGGCATTGCACTCCAACCTGGGTAACAAAAGCGAAACTCCATCTCAAAAAAGAAAAACGTACATGCATAGGGACCATCTGGTGAAGAGAGAGACAAGGGGTTTTTCAAGACAAAGTTTTTAAATTCATCTGAACCACAGGATGAAGGGGCGTGGCCCTGTGTGTGTGAGGGCAAACACACTAAGTGGTGATGCTGGAATGGGTACGAACCCCTTCTGGGTGTCAAGCACCATGCAGAGGGCTTTGCAAATGTTTTCTTGCATAATGCCCCCAAGAACCAAACCAAGGATAATGATAACACCATCATGAAGGGACGGAGACCCCGAGGTGGCAGGGGATTGTATTCGTGTCCGATGGCTGCTCTAAGAGATTTCCACCAACTCAGGGGCTTAACAAAACAGAGATTTATTCTGTCACACCTCTGGAAATCCAGAAGCCATCTCCTTGGGCTGAAATCACGGTGCCAGGAGGAACTCGCTTTCCCCAGAGGCTGTCGGGAAAATCTGTCCTTGCTCCTCTGCCAGCTCCTGGGGGCTGCTGGTCTTCCCTGGCTTGTGGCTGCCTCGTTCTGATCTCCGCCTCCATCTTCACATTGCCTTCTCTCTGTCAGCGAAACTCCCTTTGCCCCTCTTGTAAGGACATTTGTGGTGGCATTTAGGGCATTTGGGGGTAATCTGGATAATCTCCCATCTCAAGATCCTTAATCACATCTGCAAGGAACCCTTTTTCTAAATACAGTATACCATTTACAGGTTCCGAGGACTAGGACCTCATGTCTTTGGGGGGCATTTTTCAAGCCACCACAGTGATCCTCAGCTGTGCGCCAGCCTTCATTGAGCGCCCACTAGGTAC